AAAATCTAAATTTTTAAAGAAAAATTTATAAAATAAAATATATATTTAAATAAAACACAGAAAAACTTTAGTATTTTTAATACTTTTACAATTATACTACTCGTATTGTTTTTTAAAAACCATTTCAACATCATCATATAGCATAAATCAGTCTTCTCTTCATTGCTGAAATTGTTTTTTTTTTTTTAATAAAATCAAAGATGAGATTAGCACATCACGACAATAATTAACCGATTTTGACAGATTTATGGCTGAAAGAGTAATGAGTCTGGCCAAAATATTTAATAAACAAATGTACAAAAGGCAGTAATGTGTTGAAATTTGTGAATGACTAGCATTATAATTTAGAGTAAATCCATGAGCCTGCTGATGGCCCGAAGCGATGGATGAGAGATGAAGGGGAAAAAGATGAAGAAAACAGAGCTTGTTTATGTGCTGCAAGTCCATGCAATATTTTGCATGTGTACAGACGCATGAATGTGTAGGCAGTTTTTTTTCCCCAAACCTTTAAGAACAGTAAACATGGCCACTGTAATCTGCATTATGCATGTTCTAGGTTGTCTGCATTTTCGAGGGATACTCGATTGTTAGCATTAGACAGGATGGACAGGCATGAAAATTCAGCAGATCAACAATAGATGTGTTGCGAGGGAGAAGGAACACTGCTACGAGGGCTCACTTCAGTGAAAGACGCGCAGCAGGGGGTTCTGGACCGTGCTTCTGGCCTGCCACAAACTGTCAACGAATATCACACTGAAGAGACTCCAGTGCGCTGATACTGCCTGCATACACACACACACACACTGTTTCCCCTAGACGCTGTGCTTTTGTGAAGGCTATGGAAACCAACTTTGAAGGGTCAAAATCCTCAGTTGCCAGACAGAAACATTTTTTATGGCGTGTGCAGTTAATTCACTTGACAGTCGGGCAAAAGCGTAGCAGAAAGAGGAAGGTTGCAATGGTGAACAAACACTCAGTGATATGATGTCCCTATATTAATAGATGTGAGACTGCAGCAGATGTTGTATTAACTACTGTATATGTTTGCCGTCAGTTACTGGAGTTTAATAACACTGACATAATTACATACATCTTCTGCTATACTGACATTAATGGGGACAGATTACGCACCATTTTACAAAGTAAAAGTAAAATAAGTCTCTGATGTTCCTATAGTGTTTATGTGACGTCTAATCTCAAAATGCCTCACAAATAACCAGCGCTGTCAATCGATAAAAAAATTTAACTAATTAATCGCACATTTTTTGCAATTAATCGTGATTAAAAGAATGAAACTTGTATTTCTGCCTATTTAAATGTAAAATGTAAATTAAAGTAAACTCGAGACAAAGAAACTATTTAAATTCAAAATAAAGATGTATATTAGATTTTTTGTTTAACTTGTAACACAGATTTCTTCAACATACCTGTAATAAACCATCAAGATCCTCATACTATTGGCTTGAAAGCCAAATTTATTACAGAAATAAAAACACGGGAATGTACAGTACTGTAAGTGCCATTTTTAAAATTTTAATTGTTAAAAAACATTGCCAATAAAAACAAAAAATGATTTCAATGTTAGATTCTAAGTCAGGGGTGTCAAACTCAATTCCTGGAGGGCCGAAGCCCTGCACAGTTTAGTTCCTACCCTGTTTCAACACACTTAACTGTAGGTTTCAAACAAGCCTGAAGGGCTCAATTAGTTTGATCAGGTGTGTTTAATTAGGGTTGGAACTAAACTGTGCAGAGCTGCGGCCCTTTTGGAACTGAGTTTGACACCTGTGTTCTAAGTGGACTGCAAAATAAAGAAATACATTTCAAAAATCAGGCATTGCAAATATGGGAATTGGAAAATTATAATATAGAGTAAACAAACATGTCCTTAGGGCCGGATTGTCTAATCGGGAGAATTACCAGTGTGCCGGTTCTTTTTTGGCCGCGTGGGCCGGTGTCATGAGACACATAAGACATGAGGTCTTATTTAGACCTTGTTATGCTGATTGTTTTCATCTGTGTCTCGTGTGCTTTGTTCTACATATTGTGCAATGTGTTCTCATTTATTTGCTGGTGTCGATTTTTTGTTTGTAGCTACTACTTTCCTTTGTGTTTCTTGTGCTTACTTAATTTTGTGTACAAATCTTTGTCTAGCTTTTATACTTAGAATTATTTTTGTTCCAGTTTTCTGTCAGTCCATTTTTCTTGTTTTAGTAGTTGATTATGAGTTGTCTTTTTGATTGTTTAATTTCTCTTTTTAGGATTCTAAAAGAATGTTTTTCAGTTTCTGTTTTATTTGATTGCCTAAGTATTTCTCTTTCTCGTTCTCTTTCTACTAAGATTTTTATTTTGTTTCATATTTTCTTTTGGATTTAGTTTTATTACTTTGTTGTATATTATTGCTGTCCTGTCATGTGTCTTATACTTTTCCAGTCCTATACTGTGTACTGTCTTCCCTGGCCTGCCGGTCTGGAGTTTACGTGGCATGATCCAGGATCTAGCTCTGGTTTAAGCCACTACTCCTGGCTGGCTGTTCATTTCGGTGCCATCTTTTCACTACCACTGAATTCCCTGTGTTATTGCTCCTACTGTTTGGACCCAGTCATCCCCTTGTCTGTATTGCTCATCCTTAGTATTGCTCAATGCTGCAACTGGGTCTGCTTTCTTCCAACCTACCGTGACAACTTCTATGTTAAGCTGCTTTGACAGAGTGAAGATTGTAAAAGTGCTATAGAAATAAACATGAATCGAATAATGAAACTGAACAACGATTTATGACCAGAAACACAAAATCAATCATCAACAGAAATCATCTATAAACCTATTGATTTGGTGCTCAAAACTTCCCAATTTATAAAAGTTGACCAGCATGTACATGTAATATTTTGATAACATGCACAATAATTGAGTCAACTAAGGTTAACTACCCACAAATAAAAGTGTGAACTCAAAGGCTGCGACTTATCGTTTTTAATTATTCAAAAGGTTGTATTTGATAACAAATGCGCACATATAAATGGAGTGTCATACATCTACATCATTCTGAGGAAAATGAAAATAACAACGGAGCATGACGGAAATTTTACAACCCGGTCCGTCAAAGTGACGGATGGTGATTATTTGCAGTGCATCCTCTGAATTGTAGGTGTGCGAGTGTGTGTGAGTGTTATCGCAAGCCTCCTGCTGCGTGATCTCATTCTCTAAAGGTTGCCTGCACCCTCATCTTCTCAGAAGCCCCCCATCCTCGCTCTCCATCTCACCTTTTATCTTGACATCACTCTGGCCTGTATATCAGCTAATGTGAATTCTGAGTGGATGGGCTGAGAAGTTGAGGTTAATGATGATGCCCTCGCTGCAGTATATATGAAGCTCAGCGAGGGCTGTCTGAACCCCCAGAGCCACTTCACTCGCACCTCAAGCCTCAAGTCAATACGGTGGTTAGGCCTCAATCTCGGCTCGCGCACATACACACTTACAGGGCGGGAGTTACAGACTATCCACTCCAGGCTTCTAAGCACACAGTCATTTTCACGCCTACTGGATCCTCACGCTTTCCAAATTGTTTTTGCAAAGGTCAAATGCAATGTTCAGCTCGCAGGGTCTGACGGTGTAAATGGGGAAGATGAGGAGGGGGGAGAGGGTGGTCCAACCCTTCGGCCACAGATGAGAAAAGGCTGCTGAAAGGTTCTCTGAACACAGTTTTTCTTTTTCCTTCTGTTCTTTTTTTTTTTACTCCTGCACAATGAAATAATGTCACATAGAATCAAAGCAGCCATAACTTTTGAGCATTAATATTAAAAGAAACGTGAATCACTGGGGAGCAAATTACACTTTTATGGTCTCGTAAACAACCCGGATCTATAGCCACATCGTGTACAGGCACATAGAGGTCTCAAACTCATAGAGTCATCAAAATAAAAGAGGTGAAATGCAAAAACTTGGACTTTAATAACAATTCTGAAGGTGAAATGTGTATTTTAGCAACACTAGAGGCACCAAGAGGAATTGTAGATGTTGTCCAAACATTTTTTACTTTTTCACTCCCAAAAAAATATGCAGATTTTTTTTTTTATTAAAAATATATTAATGATTGAAATCTAAAAATTACATTTTACCGTTAATTCAGCCGTCCCATAAACTTTTTAGGAGAACAATAAAACTGTGGTGTTTGGTGATTCACATAATAAATTATAAGCGTGTTTTGTTTTATCTCTGCTATTATTTATTTTATACACAAATTCTTGTGTAAGGTTATTTAAAAATAGATATATTGTAAAGTATACAGATGATACCTCTTTGGTGAGCCTTTTAAATGAAGAGAAGGAAGTAGAACACGGGCCTGTTCTTGACTTCTTTTTGACTTGTGTGAAAATTCAAACCTTCTCCTAAACGTTCCTAAAAGATGATTATTGATTTTAGAGAGAGAACACAAAGCAAAACTCCTCTCAGATTAATTAATGGGAAGCAAATTCAGTTAGTAAAAATTATACATATTTGGGTGTGATGTTGGACAAACTTAAGTGGGATGTATGGACTGATTGTGTAAGCAAAAAGCTGTACTTCTTTTTAAAGAAAACTATTGTCTTTTAATGTTGACAGCACATTGTTGATTATGTTTGATAGTGCTTTTATTAAAACTATTGCAGAGTTTTGTGTAATCTGTTGGTATGGAAATGCTTCAGAGGGCCAGAAGAGGTCACTGGGAAAGCTGGGAACATCAGCCAGTAAGTTGTTAAAGAGCATTAGTAGTATATACAAAGAAAGAGTACTAAATAAGGCTATCATGATTGTCAATGATGAGAGACATCCTTTATCAAAAAGCTTCCAATTGTTACCATCAGGTCGTCGATATTTTTTTCCCAGGTGTGTAAGAAATAGGAATAAAAATTAATTTATACTCCAAGCAATTAAGTTTTTGAATTCCTCCTCCCTCAGTAGCAGTTGATGGCTGGTGACTGGACATTTATTTAGAGCAGGGGTATCATGTCTTTAAATTATTTACTTATCTACAGTGTGTGTGTGTGTGTGTGTGTGTGTGTGTGTGTGTGTGTGTTGGCATATGTGGTTTATGGAACCAATTTTCAGGTTTACCCACCAGCATTATGAGACCATTTAGTTTATGAGACCATTTTTGGTGGTCTCATAAACTAAAAATTTAAGTTGATATTAAAAATGGTTTAAATGATGATTATTCATTACAATGACCTAAATGATAATTATAAGACTTGTTTCAAAAGTTCACATTGTTATTTGGTTATTATTACACTTGGTGTGCTTTTTATGACCTTTACAAATATGGTCTTGTAAACCATGATGTGTATGTGTGATCTTTGAACAGCGCCTCTGTAGGCGGAACTTGGTACTGCACTTCTATACACACTCGCGCCAAATCTTACACAATTTCGCGCCATACATTCAATCGCGGGAAAACGTCCCTCATGAAGACTGTGGACGTGACAGTCGCGCTTCAAGCAGTGAAACTCACATCAAACAAGTAAGTCATTTGTTTTTAATACTTTGTACATTATTTATTATTATATGTACTGTATTATTCCACTTGTTATTCAAAATAGCAAGTTTATTTATATATTTATATGCGGCGCGTACTGTTTTAGACAATAATAATTAGTGACTGGGAACAGAAGATGAGAACAAATAAACGTTAGAAATATGTGTTTGTAATGGCAGTATCAGACGTAAGTTAGTTCTTCAAAATGTGTATTTGCTAATAATAGCACGCGCTCGGCCTGTATCTGGCTCGGAAGCGCCGGTGTCGATTTAACCCAGAACCGGGCAGAGCTCACTCCTCCGCGGTAAACAATTCGCCGTCTGATACCATGAGATGTAACGTTATAATAGATGCACTATGTAATTTGTGATTTTTTTTTCTACACATACTTTTATGTGAGAAGCAATGACCATTCGAATATGGTATAAATAACATGGTAACAAGGTATATTAAACATAAATATGACGTAGAAACAATTTACTAAACTTGAATTATTAAGCATGATTGAACAAAATGTTTGAATTTAGTAATGTAAATGTGTGGTTTTATTTTTTCTAATGTTTTTTTGTGATAAACTTGTGTTCAGTTAAACTGTACATTTGAATAAATGAACTTTTATTATGAAAAGAGGTTAACTAACCCTAGTTAAATAACTTTATTTGATCAAATTGTCAAAATAGTGTACTACTAACTTATATTTTGTTAAATGGTTTGAAATGTGATAACTGTATTATGAAATTTGATAACTATATTACTATTTTGTTCTGTTTTGGTCTTCTTTAGAGAATTTTACACTACGTCACATATATTAATACTGCTTTGCATATGTGGTATTGTATTGATATTATAAACTGTGAAGTTTAACCTTATATAATATTTTAACAGTGAATGAATGGTGGTAAGAGTCAACGCAGAGGATTAAATCCTTTGAAAGATGCTTCTCATCATGTGAGGTTGGGGAAGGATAAAGACATGCTTACGTGGAGGTACATCAGTGACATCAAAGGTACCAAAGTTTTGTACATGTTTTTTCTTACTGCAGGTAACCCCCAGTTAATGTTTCATTATAAGCATAGTGTATAAAATGTTTAGATGCAAAAATGAGTTTAATTTAACACAAAAATTTAAGTCATGAATGATGATTTGATGACATGACATTATAAATGTCAACAAATAACATTTAAATAATAATAATAATAAAAAAAGAAATGTCCTAATTGAAAACCACACTTTTAAATGTTAATGTTTAATTTAAGAGTCTAAAAAATGCTAATATTAATGATTTCCATATTAGTGAAAAGTTAAAACTGTTAAAGATTGTACACTATCCAGGGCCTGATTAACCAATGGTTAATAACACACATTGATGGAATAAGCCATTTACACAAATTTTGTTAGACAAGTGATGTCTGACCGACCGAGACAACATAACTAAATAGCACCAGTGGTGTAACTTGTAATGCACATAGCAACATGTTTTGACGCGATTGATCATCAACTCGAGTTCTAATATACCGTCTGCTGAACTTATTCTTATTTTTTTTCTCCCTATTGCATATCAGATGGGAAATACATTTATTTTTAATAGGTAGGAAACATTTAAAAAAAAATTAAAATAATGCAAATGTTAAACAAAGTCACAAGTGCCTCGTGTGTTTTGATGATGTTTATCTTATTTCTCTAAATAGTTATTTTAAATATATAATAAAGTTATTTTCAAATGTTAGCAACATCTTAATAGAATTCATTTGTATTTATTTATTTGTGATGTTAGTCACTAGGGGTGTAACGGATCACTGTTGATCCGCGATCGATACGGGTCACAACCCTCGGTTCGGAATGCGCGTGACTCGTAGATTAATAACTTTTTTTGAACTTGTAGGTTAATCCAACATTTATAACAATCGCAGAGAGATCGCCTCCCGTGTCATTCAAATCGCATGAATGAAAGCATTTTGGCTTCCCTGTAAAATATAAGGATGACGTTGTGGGATCTACCTAAATGCTTTTGGCTATTAAGGTGTTTTTTTGTCACTGTTTGTTTAGCCTGCATTAATGCATTCATTATGGTAAGAATAAAATCACTGTTTAATGAAACAAGATGCTGGTGAAAGCAACTACATTGTGTAACCAACAGATGGCGACAAACAAACATCAAAATTATGTCATTGAATAGGTTTTCAAATATAATACACCTACAGTATAATGAAACATGAAGTTTTATGTGTGAATTGTTGAATCATTAATTGAAGATAAATATATGTTTTACAAGATTTCTATATATTTTGCATTATCAGCAACAGTAGCAAAGATCATATTTCATATTAAATACTTTTTTTTTTAGCTGGTTATTTCCTGATTTTTATTTTTTATTAAAATTACAGGTGCTATATTCTGTTTGTTAAAAGCAATGTTTTATGCAGTAACATCTTTGTATAAATGGAAAGCAAATTGTCTCCTCCCTTTTTTGCTGATCCAAAAAATGGTCCGATCCATAACTCAAAAAACGTAGAGTGATCCGAACTGCAGATTTTGGATCCGTTACACCACTATTAGTCGCCCTTTCCCAAACCCTGGTTAGCCTGTCGATTATCATTTGCCACAACTAGCGCTACTTCACCCATATTCTCCTACCTCATGGCTCTGTTGAAGAGCATTTAATAGGTTGCACATGCCTTAATAAAGGTTGCCTCCCTCTCTTTAAAAACATTTTTTTTAGAAACTAGGCATTTCCTCTTAGCAAATAGTCAATATCATATATTATTATTATCATTGTATTTAAATTGTTAGAAAATGTCACCATGTATAAAAAGCATGCAGATTTTTTCCTTTCCTTCTTTCCTTTTTTTAACTAAACAGCATGCTCTAATTGGTGAAGTGCATGTAAGTTTTGAAATAACCTGCACTGAATTGAGTGGACTGTAGTGTAGTATTTGCCGTAGATCAAAATGAGTGAACAAGTGGATTTGGCAATCACAAGAGAAAAAGAGGAGAGGGTGCATCTTTATTGAGGCATGTTTCATGTATTCACTCCTTCAAACAGACCCATGATGAGGAGAATGAGGGTATAGAAGACGTTATGGTAATGTTATGTGCAAGCTAGCATTAACTAGGCGGAGGATGCCAATGGCAGTGCAGACTGGATTCATCGTTTGTCTGAGGGCATACTCGCACTGTACAGTTGTCATGAACCAGGCTGAAGCATGCTTTCCCCCCCTTCCGTTTCCCCCTACAGCCTGCACTCAAATTGCATTCGTGCCTGGGCACTCTTATGTCATTGAACATGTGCTGTTCAGTAAGAGCTCTCGCAAAGCACAGTGGAGAATAGTAATAAATACCTTTTAAAATATATATTTTAGTACTGCTTCAGTTAACTTGAACAATCAAGTTACTATCAATTTTCACAAATTTTATTAATAAATTTTAAATGCTTAAAAAATAAGTTAAATCTTTGTAGACTATATATATATATATATATATATATATATATATATATATATATATATATATATATATATATATATAATTTATTTTAAAAATGTGGGCAATATATTATAGATTCGTTTTGAAAAAAATGTATTCTATTCTTATTTTTTTTAATACAGACCTCTTGAGTTCTTAATCCGGGCCTGACACTATCAAATAGTAAAGTATTAGATAATTGTTTTGGGCCAGTTTCCTGTACAGTGTACTTTTTGTGCACTATTAAACCAACATAATGATTTTTTTCAATGATTTAGTTTCTTCTGTATCAGTTTTCACTGTTTGTCCAGAAGAGTTTGTGATGCATACTCTGTGGAGTCAGTGTTCATGTGTTGACAGAACTGTTTTTATTTGGCAGAGTTACAATTTTAATCTTGTATAAAAAAAAGTACCTTGTGTTTAATTTTAAAACATTGTTCTGCACGATATCACAACATACAATTGTAATTTTAGAGTGTGTCATGTGGAGGAGTTGACCTTCTCTCCTGTAACAAACATGAAAAAGCAAAGGTAGGGTATATTGGATTTTATTTTAAAAATTGGCATATTTTGAACTGTATGTAGTATTAAATATAATGTTTAATAATGTCTGTTTAGCACACACTTGAGTTGTTTTAGCTTTCATTTCTGTGTTTTGATTATGTTTTTCAGTCTCTTCATGAGCCATTATCTTTGAATTCTGAACAGAGTGAGCTTCAAAGAGGTTTGTCTATATAATTGTCCTCTAAATGTTGATCTGAAGAGATATTTTCTTATTGTTCCTGTATCTGTGCAGTTATTTTTATATAATAATACATTTAATATGGGTGTAGCGATACATTATTATATTGAGAATCGCAATATAACAATTCAAAGTTTTTTCTTTAGATTAGCCTCTATTCACACGGTGAGTATTATGCGTAAGATTAAACGCTTACACAGTGGCAGTATAAACTACTGTTGTTAAATGAGGAAAATAATGCAAGTTGAAATCTGATGATGACAAATGCCTGATTATACCAGTGAAAATGATCTATTTGCATGTGGACCATAAGAGAGTGCAAGCATACATCTAACACTCATCTTTAGAATTTTGAATTTGTATTCTGATGTCATCTCTGTCCTGTGCATTAAAGACCAATTTAAAGTTTAACATGCCAGATCTATGCAAAATTGAGCATTTTAACCATTACAAGGCCTACATATTATAATAATATTGTTTTTTACCACATTTGAGAAATAACAAATATTACTAATATTTAAAGTTTTTTTTTAATAGCTTACAATATTGAGATATCAAGAGAAACAATGTCAAGTTTGCTGACCTAGCAATAGGCTATTGTTTTAATATCTGTGTGTTTGCTCATGGTTTATGGGGACCAAGTATGTCTACTGAATGTGACTTAGCAGTAGGCTATTGTTTTGTTAAATCTGTTTATTCATGGTTTATGAGGACATGGTTTGTTATGCGAGACTTAAAGCTTTCAGTAAGTGAATGTCATGTTTTCTTCATCTTTCTTTGCTTCTCTCTTTCAGCGCCTCCATGAGCCTGTGGCTTTAACCAACAAACAGAGCTGTCTTCTACAGAGGTTTGTTAATTATTTTGTCATGCTAATTTGACACTCCTTAAAGGGATAGTTCATCCAAAAAGTGCAATTGTCTCATTATTTGATCACCCTTTACTTGTCTCAAACCTTTATTGGGATATTTCTTCTGTTAAAGACAAAAGAAGATACTTAGAAAAAATATGGAAACCTGTAACCATAGACTTCCATAATATTGGTGTTTTCTGTTGTGGAAGTCAATGATTGCAGGTTTTCTTCTTCCATCAAAATATCTTGTTTTTGTTGTTTAACAGAAGTAATAAACCCTTAAAGGTTTGTAACACTTGGGGGTAAATTAATAGTGAGTAAATATAATTTTTTGTGTGAATCATCCCTTTAAGTGCTAAAATGACAGTTTCATATTTCTACTACATTCAACATAGCAGTCCTGTGTGTTTAGTCATGGTTTATGAGGACCAAGTATGTCTATTTTATGTGAGTTAGCAGCAAGCTATTGTTTTATTAAATCTGTGTGTTTACTCATAGTTTATAAGGATATGATTGGTTATGCAAGACTTGAAGCTTTCAGTAAGTGAATCATGTTTTCTTCATCTTTCTTTGCTTCTCCCTTTCGGTACCTCCATGAGCCCGTCACTTGGACAAACACAAACAGAGTTGTTTTCTACAGAGGTTTGTTCATTCTTTTGTCAAGCTATTTTGACACTTCTTAAAGGCATAGTTCACCCAAAAATGAACATTTACTCACTATTAATTTACCCTCAAGTGTTTCAAACCTTTATGGGTTTCTTTTTTTCTGTTTAATAAAACAAATGAGATACTTTGAAAAAAGATGGAAACATGTAACCATTGACTTACATAATAGAAAACACAAATAATATGAAAGTCAATGGTTACAGGTTTCCATCGTTTTTCAAAGTATCTTCTTTTGTGTTTAACAGAAAAAGAAACCCTTAAAGGTTTGGAACACTTAAGGGTAAATTAATAGTGAGTAAATGTTAATTTTTGTGTGAATCATCCCTTTAAGTGCTAAAATGACAGTTTCCTATTTCTGCTAAATGCAGTGTAGCAGTCCTGTGTGTTTAGTCATGGTTTATGAGGACCAAGTATGTCTATTAGATGTGACTTAGCAGTAGGATATTGTTTTAATAAATCTGTGTGTTTACTCATGGTTTATGAGGACACAGTATTTGTAGGTTTACATGGTGCTACCAGTAGACTATTATAACATGTGTTTCTTCATGGTTTATGAGGGCATTTTTTGTTATGCGAGACTTCAAACAGTTAGTAAACAAATGTTAAATTTTCTTTATCTTTGTTTCTCTCTTTCAGTACCTTTATGAGCTCGTCACTTTGACAAACACAGAGTTGTCTTCTACAGAGGTTTGTTAATTATTTTGTCAAACTATTTTGACACTTTTTAAAGGGATAGTTCTCCCAGAAAGTACAATTGTGTCATCATTTGCTCACCCTTTAATTGTCTCAAACCTTTTTGGGGTTATTTATTCTGTTAAAGACAAAAGAAAATACTTACAAATAATATGGAAGTGAATGATTACAGGTTTCCATCTTTTTTTGTTTTCTACCATGGAAGTCAATGATTGCCGATTTTCTTCCACCTAATGTCTTGTTTTTGTTTTTTATCAGAAGAAATAAACATGTAAAGGTTTGGAACCCTTGAGGGTAAATTGTTAGTGAGTAAATGTTAATTTTTGGGTGAATCATCCCTTTAAGTGCTAAAATAACAGTTTCATATTTCTGCTAAATGCAATGTAGCAGTCCTGTGTGTTTTGTCATGGTTTATGAGGACACTGTATGTAGAATGCAATGTTAGCAGTAGACTATTGTTTTATAACGTGTGTGTTTCTTCATGGTTTATGAGGACATGATTGGTTAAACGACACTTAAAGCTTTCAGTAAGCGAATCTCATGTTTTCTTCATCTTTCTTTACTTTTCTCTTTCAGCACCTCCATAAGCCAGTCACTTTGTCAAACACAGAGTTGTCTTCTACAGAGGTTTGTTAATTCTTTTGTCAAGCTATTTTGGTATTTCTTGAAAGGATAGTTTTACCCAAAAATGAACATTTACTCACTATTTGTTTACCCTCAAGTGTTCCAAACCTTTATGGTTTTCTTGTTTCTGTTTAACAAAACAAATAACATACTTTGAAATAAGATAGAAACCTGTAACCATTGACTTCCATAGTAGTAAAAAAAAAGTAATATAAAAGTCAATGGTTACAGGTTTCCATCGTTTTTCAAAGTATGTTTTGTTTTTAACAAAAGAAATAAACCCTTAAAGGTTTGGAACACTTGAGGGTAAATTAATAGTGAGTAAATGTTAATTTTTAGGTGAACCATCCCTTTAAGTGCTAAAATGACAGTTTCCTATCTCTGCTAAATGCAGTGTAGCAGTCCTGTGTGTTTAGTCATGGTTTATGAGGACCAAGTATGTCTATTAGATGTGACTTAGCAGTAGGTTGTTTTATTAAATCTGTGTATTTACTCATGGTTTATGAGGACACACTATGTGTAGGTTGACATAGTGCTAGCAGTAGACAATTATAACGTGTGTTTCTTCGTGATTTATAAAGGCATGATTTGTTATGCGTGACTTAAAGTAATTTAACAATGTTAAAAAAATCTTATCTTTGCTTCTCTTTTTCAGTACCTCCCTGAGCCCGTCACTTTGACCAACACAGAGTTGTCTTCTACAGAGGTTTGTTTATTCTTTTGTCATGTTATTTTGACACTCCTTAAAGGGATAGTTCACCCAACAGTACAATTGTGTCCTCATTTGCCTACCCTTTACTTGTTTCTTTATTTGTTCTGTTAAAGACAAAACAAAATACTTTTAAAAAGATGTAAACCTGTAATTCATAGTAAGTAAATGTTCATTTTTGGGTGAACCATCCCTTTAAGTGCTAAAATGACAGTTTCTTAATTAGACTAAATGCAGTGTAGCAATCCTGTGTGTTTAGTCATGGTTTATGAGGACACAGTATGTGTAGGTTTACAATGTTAGCAGTAGACTATTGTTTTATAGCGTGTATGTTTCTTCATGGCTTATGAGGACATGATTGGTTTTGTGAGACTTAAAGCTTTCAGTAAGCGAATGTCATGTTTTCTTCATCTTTCTTTGCTTCTCTCTTTCAGTACCTCCATGAGCCAGTCACTTTGTCAAACACAAACAGAGCTGTCTTCTACAGAGGTTTGTTAATTCCTTTGTAATGCTATTTTGACACTTCTTAAAGGGATAGTTCACCCAAACAGTACAATTGTGTCATCATTTGCTCACCCTTTGCTTGTTTTAAATCTTTATGGGTTTATTTTTTCTGTTAAACACAAAAGAAGATACTTTGAAAAAAGATGGAAACTTGTAACCATTGACTTCCATATTATTTGTGTTTTTTATTATGGAAGTCATTGATTGCAGGTTTTCTTCTTCCATCATAATATCTTGTTTTTGTTGTTTATCAGAAGAAATAAGCACATAAAAGTTTGGAACACTTGAGGGTAAATTAATAGTGAGTAAATGTTAATTTTTGAGTGAACCATCACTTTAAATGCTAAAATTACAGTTTCCTTTTTCAGCTAAATGCAATGTAGCGGTCCTGTGTTTTTAGTCATGGTTTATGAGGACACAGTATGTCTATTTAATGTGACTTAGCAGTAGGATGTTGTTTTATGAAAACTGCGTGTTTCTTCATGGTTTATGAGGACACAGTATGTGTAGTTTTACATAGTGCTAGCAGTAGACTATTATAACGTGTGTTTCTTTATGGTTTATAAGGGCATGGTTTGTTATGCAAAACTTAAAACAATAAGTAAACGAATGGTAAATTTTCTTTATCTTTGCTTCTCTCTTTCAGTACCTTCATGAGTCCGTCACTTTGAAAAACACAAACAGAGTTGTCTTCTACAGAGGTTTGTTAATTCTTTTGTAATGCTATTTTGACACTCCCTAAATGGATAGTTCACCCAAACGGTACAAATGTGTCATTATTTGCTTACATTTTACTTTGGGTTATTTCTTCTGTTAAAGACAAAAGAAAGTACTTTAAAAAAAGATGTAAACCTGTAACCATAGACGTCCATAGTAGAAAACACAAATAATATGAAAGTCAATATTCATTGGTTTTCAAAGTATCTTTTGTGTTTAACAGAAGAAATAAACCCATAAAGGTTTGGAACACTTGAGGGTAAATTAATAGAGTAAATGTTAATTTTTGGATGAACATGGTTTATGAGGACACAGTATGTGTAGGTTTACATAGTGCTAGCAGTTGACTTATAATTTGTTTCTTCATGGTTTATAAGGGCATGGTTTGTTATGCGTGACTTAAAAAGTCCCTTCAAGTGCTAAAATTACAGTTTCCTATTTCTGCTAAATGCAGTGTAGCAGTCCTGTGTGTGTTTAGTCATGGTTTACGAGGACCAAGTATGTCTATTGAATGTGACTTAGCAGTAGGCTATTGTTTTATTAAATCTGTGTGTTTCTTCATGGTATATGAGGACACAGTATGTGTAGGTTTACATAGGTTTACATAGTGCTAGCAGTAGACTATTATAACATGTTTCTTCATGGTTTATGAGGGCATAGTAAAGGGATAGTACACCCAAAAATGACAATTGTGTCATCATTTGCTCACCCTTTACTTGTTTTAAATCTTTATGGGTTTATTTTTTTTTTGTTAAACACAAAAGAAGATGGAAATCTGTAACCATTGACTTTCATATTTTTTGTGTTTTCTATTATGAAAGTCAATGATTGCAGGTTTTCTTCTTCCATCAAAATATCTTGTTTTTGTTGTTTATCAGAAGAAATAAACCCATAAAGGGTTGGAATGCTTTGGGGTATATTAATAGCAAGTACATTTTCATTTTTGGGTGAACCATCCTTTTAAGTGCTAAAATAACAGTTTCCTATTTCTGCTAAATGCAGTGTAGCAGTCCTGTGTGTTTAGTCATGGTTTATGAGGACCAAGTATGTCTATTGGATGTGACTTAGCAGTAGACTATTGTTTTATTAAATCTGTGTGTTTCTTCATGGTTTATGAGGACACAGTATGTGTAGGTTTACAATGTTACTAGTAGACTGTTATTTTATAACGTGTGTGTTTCTTCATGGTTTATGAGGACATGATTGGTTTTGCAAGACTTAAAGCTTTCAGTAAGCGAATGTCATGTTTCCTTCATCTTTCTTTACTTTTCTCTTTCAGCACCTCCATAAGCCAGTTGCTTTGACAAACACAAACAGAGCTGTCTTCTACAGAGGTTTGTTAATTCTTTTGTAATGCTATTTTGACACTCCTTAAAGGGCTAGTTCACCCAAAAATGACAAATTTGCTCATCCTTCACTTCCTTCAATCTGTGTTTCTTCATGGTTTATGAGGACACAGTATGTGTAGGTTTACATGGTGCTAGCAGTAGACTATTATAACGTGTGTTTCTTTATGGTTTATAAGGGCATGGTTTGTTATGCTTGACTTTAAAAGTAAGTAAACGAATGTTGAATTTTCTTTATCTTTGATTTTCTGTTTCAGTACCTCCATGAGCCAGTCGCTTTGACCAACACAGAGTTGTTTTCTACAGAGGTTTGTTAATTCTTTTGTCAAGAATTAACAAACCTCTGTAGAAAACAACTCTGTGACTGGCTCATACCCAAAAATGACAAATGTGTCATCATTTGCACACCCTTTATGGGTTTATTTTTTCTGTTAAACACAAAAGAAGATGGAAGATGAAAACCTGTACTCATTGACTTCCATATTTTTGGTGTTTTTATTTTGGAAGTCAATGATTGCAGGTTTTCCTCTTCCATCAAAATACCTTGTTTTTTGTTTAACAGAAAAAAATAAACTCGTAAAGTAGAAAAGTCCAATAGTACGAAAAATAATAACATGGAAGTCAATGAGTGCACGTTTTAATTTATTAAGAAAATAAACTAATAATAATTAAAATAATAAAATAATTTAAAAAAGTGAATAATAATGTCTCTCTCTTTCTCCCTTCAGGAAATAACAGGTGAATCTTGACAGAAATCCAGGAAGCCAGACAGTGATGGTGGTGATGGTAAGAATTTCTGTCAATAACAATGCAGGAAGAAACTAAGTAACTAAAATTACTTTGAAAATAATGTGCATTTTAGGCCTTTTTTATTTTAAGCAAATTTTAAGCATGATCTAAAGGGTTGAGTTTATTTTCTTAATGAGTTATAGGTGTATTTTGAGAATAAACCAATCAGAGTCTCATCTCCCATTCCCTTTAATAGCCTTGCATCGTGCCATAAGCGCATTTGCTATTTACATGACGTAAAGTAAGTTTAAGTGGAAAAACTGAGCATTTCACAAGCAAACAGTTAACAGTTTTTTTTAACAGAAAACTGTTTAACATAGCATCTACCGCGCGAGAATGAGAGATAAATGATACTACTTTCTACTTTCACTTTCGCTCTTGGTGGATAGGAAAATCTTTACGCACAGACATCAGTTAGCCTAATAATAATAATTAATTGCGTTTGTTAACCGCAAATATTTGTTTCAAAACTATTTCTAAATGCAGTTCTAATTTCCAGCAAATGAATAAATGAACAATAAAAACTAAGTGTTGTCATAAACCTGAGTTATATCCTAAAACACATGTTGCCCGCATATGGTCTAATGCCTAAGATCGTGAGCAGCGCGTGTGTTTTCGGCGTCCATGTTAACAGATTAGAGCTTTCATACCGCACGCAGCAGCAGCGCGTCAGAGCGAGGCGTGAGCGTCGCCAAAGCAGCAGTGCAGCGATAGTTTCGGCGCTGGGTCTATTTTTGACGCGCTGCTCACGCTCAATTAAAGTGACAGTGCATTGAGAATGACCAAAACACATTGAATGACAGTAAAAAGTAGCAATTTTACCCAATAAATGCGTTAATAATGTCAAATGGTTTATATATAGTCATTCAAATGAACTTAAAACGATTAAAAACGGCAACAAACATTTATTTAGGCCCGAACTACAAAACCAAATGTAAAACAATTTTACTATCAGTTTTGCTTAAGTTGCATACTAGTGTTGTAGGAGAGGGGAAATGGAATATTTACGGGATTTGTAGTCCATAGCGCAGTGTATTGTGGGTAGTGTAGTTCGACACGCATGCTGGATGATGTGAGCTCGCTGTGTTCTGTGCAGCTGAGCAGAGCAAGAACGTTTTAATTGGCTTTGTTTTATGTTCACTCGAGTTATTCCTACCGGGAGCTGTTTGCACTGTGAATCTGACAACACGAAAATAAGTAAAAGAATGGCATGCATTGGTTATACATCCGTATACATGCATTTGCTAATTCACAGGTTGCATATGAAGAGCGATGATCGACCCACAGCTTTAATGGAAAGAAAGAGAAATATGGGAGAATCCCAGCAAAAACGGAAGGGTTGGGAGAATCCTGGTAAAACAGGAGGGTTGACATGTATGAAGTGAACAGGAAGTGTTAGTGGAAAAACAGTTTTGCGAAAACACAAAACATCTGCGAGGGAACGCAAAAACTTCCAAAAGAGGATTTTTAAATAAAAATATAGTCAAGGTAAAATGTTCAAAAACTAGGTCTGACTCATTCCTTTTCTTCCGCCGTCTCATTAACACACCTTTATTAAATTACAATAATGAACAAATTGCACAAACAAACAGTAATATTTTAGAGTAAAGTAATGAGCTATTTAAAAGTACACTTTAAAGAAAACCACATTTACAAGAGAGACTGTGCCTTAAAGCATATACTGCTCTGTCACACTGCTTTTATTTATTATTTTAGGTTTGTTTATGAATGAATTATTTAAGTTAAATATTTCATGTATGTGGTTTAATATTTAATTGGTCATTAAATCAAATGAAAAAGCTAGCTACTTTATTTTTTGATGCTTCAACCGATCAATAAACAAAGAAATGAACAACCACAGATTATTTTATTCTCTCTGTAAAGTATTTAGATACTTAGACTATACTAAATAATTAGACTATTCTATATAGTTTTTAACATTGTTTGGGCTCAGTTGGGATTATTTGTTAATGAACAGCCACTCATCTTTCCATTAAACATTTTGATATTAAAATTATGTTTTAACTTTATGTCTCTAAGATTGCATTGTAATTTTCTAAGTTAAACTAAACTAGTTAAACTAGACAATTAAAATATGCTGTAAAAAAGTTTAGGTTGATAATTTAGGTTTTATTTTGGCTGGAAATGATTTACTGCTGGTTTTATCTGACCAGAGAACAACACAATGTTGGAATTGACGCAGTAGCATTGTGTAAAGTGCGATATGAGACAGCATATTTAATCCTTGCACTATTTTAAGTAAATGCATATGTATTCCACCGACTCCAAAATTAGGAGTTAAGAGTCTCATCCAAAAAATCCAGAACCGAACATCCCTAATCGACGCCCCATTGATGTTTCTTTGAACATCAGGTGCCATTATTAACTGTTTATCAAGTTAAATTTCAAACTGAACCTATAACTGTTTTTGATTAATTCAAAGTATAGCCCAGACTATTTTTTCCTTTTCAAAAGCAGTAGCAGTATAGCCTAAACAGGACAGTTTTACAAATGTACAGATAAGCATTTTTATAACTGAACATCACAAAAGGCCTACAAGAATTTTCTGTCCATTTTTATATACAGGCCTATTATAATTTTAAAGAAAACTGCTAGGTGGGCTATATTATTTTAAAGAGCCCATATTATACATGAAATAGGGTCATATCTTGGTTGTAAGGGTCTCCAACAACAGTCTAATATGCATGCAAGGTCAAAAAACACTTTCATGGTCTTATAATCTGCATTTATTTTTACCTAATTATCCCAGCGACTCCTGTATGAATCGTTCAGTGATTCATTTGTTCCCAAACCCCTCCTTAGCGCGAAGCTAATCTGCGCTGATTGGACCGATGACAGTCTGTCGCGATTGGTCGACTGCCTTCAGTCAGAGAGTGAAATGGCCAATAGCTAATCAGCAATTTAAAAAGTAATCACAGTTCATACACGCTAGATAGTGTAGGCGTGGATTTTAGCTGCCACACACACACAAACACCTCCGGACGAGAACGCTCCCGCTTCCGCCCGCACCCGCCAGGTTTTAGCCTTAGAACCCGCCCCGTATTCTGCCCGCCGCGCCCGATCCCGCTAAAGAGCGGGGGAGAACAAAACCGAAAATCTGTATAAACACACACACAGCACCAAGCATAAAGCTCTCGCTCGCTCGCTCTCTCTCTCTCTCTCTCTCTCTCTCTCTCTCTCTCTCTCTCTCTCTCTCTCTCTCTCTCTCTCTCTCTCTCTGTGCGTGTGCGCATGTGCCTGAGCGAGTGTGTGGTGAGCGAGTGTTGGGAAAGTGCGGTGAGTTTGAATGGTTCTCTTTCTAACTTTTCTTTCTTTGTTTGTTGTTTGTATACGTGTGCTGTTGGTTAGTGTTTGTGAGTGTAGTGAGTTTACTCCCGGCGTGTTTTGTTGCCGGGAGGTATGGCGTCGTCAGGAGACGCAGTTTGTGAAAGTTTGACTCGGCGTCATGGAATTAAAATCATGTGTAAGGCCAGTGTGGAAGATTGTATTCTAGCGGTTGGCGAAGTAGTGGGATGTTCATCGGTGGTTTCAGCTTCTAGGATGAACAATGCGGTTGTTTTGTTTTTGAACACGATAGAAAAAACTAATGAGATTGTGCAAAAAGGAGTGGTGATAAATGATGAACTCATACCTGTACTTCCTCTTAGTAGTCCATCCAGGAAAATTATTGTGTCAAACATACCTCCGTTTGTTTCCGATGCATGCATTGCAAAAGAATTATCTTCTTTTGGCAAATTAGTTTCACCGATCAGGAAAATTGCTCTTGGGTGTAAATCACCCATGCTTAAACATGTGATGTCTTTTAGAAGACAAGTTTATATGATTCTGAAAGACAACAATGACGAATTAAACCTATCGTTTAATGTCAAAGTAGATGGGTTCAATTACACCATTTACGCAACATCCGAGAGCATAATGAAGTGCTTCGGGTGCGGAAAAATTGGGCATTTAATTCGATCGTGTACAAGTGGAGGTGAGACAGGTCAGGGAGACGTACAAGGCGAGTCTTCTGCGGCTGCGTCTGTCGCGGTAGATGCCGCTGCACCTGCGGCTGATGCTGCGGTCTCTGAGGAGAGAGGCGGGGGAGGTGCGGTGGCTCCTACTATGGCAGAGGTAGTAGCAGGCTCGTCTGCTGTTCAAACCTCAATTAATTCTAAGGATGACACAAGTAGCCAAAAGGCAACTTTTTCCACAGCTGGAACAGCTAAGGAAAGTACAGGTGAAGGGATAGTGGAAATGGAAATTGAACCAGAGCAAATCTTTAAAGTTCCTAATAAAAGAAAAAAAGTCAGTGAAAACAAAATGATCAAACAAGCAAAAAAAGACAAGAGTAAGGCTGATTATATAATATCAGATAACGATGCTGATTCTTCTGATTCCAGTTCTTCAGTTTATTCCTTTTCATCGCAAAATGAAAGTGAAAGTCAAACACAAAGATATACGGCTGAGGGAATCAAGAAATTTCTGAGGGAAACAAAATTTTTACCAAACGTGGAGGCTGAGGATTATTTTGAAGATGTTTCTGCTTTCGTGAAAGATGTAAAGATTCTGACTAGAGAAGGTGCATTCATAGACACAGAGGTTTATCGTCTAAGGAAATTAGTGGGTAAAGTAAAGAAAAAAAACCTCCTTAATGATGAAAAACCAGATTTGGTGTAATTTGTTCTTGGTTAAGGTTGCAGTATTTCTGATTGTTTCTTTTATTTTTAAAACATCATTTACTATGAGGGTGTTTAACATTGGAACTCTCAATTTAAATGGTGCTAGAGACAGTCAGAAAAGAATGTGTTTATTTGAATTCATAAAAATGAAACGCCTAGATGTCACGTTTATTCAAGAATCACATAGTGACAATCTTAATGAAATAAACTGGAAGAAAGATTGGGATGGTCAGATTTTTATGAGCCATTTGGCTTACAACAGTGGAGGAGTAGCTGTTTTGTTTTCTAAGACAGTGTCTCCACTGTCTGTTGAAA